TCAGACTGGAGTGCAGTGGCACCAACATGGCTCACTCCTGGGCTCAAGTGATTCTCCCACCTTGGCCTTCCAAAGCAATGGGAGACTAGGCATGAGCCACTGCACCCAGCTGGTATCGTTATTTGAAGTGGACTTGGATTCGTTGTAAACGTATATTGCAAACTCTAGGGCAACTTCTAAAAAAGTAAAAGAATAAAACTGATATGCTTAAAAGGAGAGAAAATGGAATAATCAAATGTTCAATTAAAACACAAAAGGAAGAAAAAGAGCAGAAGACAAAATAAGAACAAAAAACCAGGACAACTAATAGGAAACAACAATAAATATGGTAATATTCATTCAACTACATCAATAATCACTTTGAATATCAATGGCCTAAATGCACCCATTTTAAAAATAATTATTATTATCATTATTTTATTATTATTTTGTGACAGGGTCTCACTCTGTCACCCAGGCTGGAGTGCAGTGGCACAATCACGGCTCACTGCAGCCTTGACCTCCAAAGCTTTAGCAGTCCTCCCACTTCTGCCTCCGGAGTACTTGGGACTGCAGGTGTGCACCACTATGCAGGGCTAATTTTTTATTTTTCATAGAGATGGGGGTCTCACTGTGGTCCCCAGGCTGGTCTCAAACCCCCATATGCAAGTGTTCCTCCTGCCTTAGCTTCCCAAAGTGCTGGGATCATAGGTGTGAGCCACCATGCCCAGCCTAAATGCACCCACTAAAGGACAGAGATTGTCAAAGTGAATTGAAAAACAAGACCTGACTACATGTTGTCTACAAGAAACAAACTTTAAATATAAGAATCTAGATAGATTTAAAGTAAATGTATAGAGAAAGATATAACACAGTAACACTAATTAGGAAAACAAGGATAGATATATTAGTTTTGGAAAGAGTAGACTTCAGAGCAAGGAAAGTTATCATGGATAAAGAGGGCATTACACAATAATAAAGAAATAAATTCTCCAAGAAGATATAACAATCCTTAATTATGCTCCTAACAGAGCATCAAAATAGGTGAGGCAAAAAGCAACAGAACTGCAAGGAGAAGTAGATGAATCCACTATTTTGGCTGGAGACTTCAATACCCTTTTATCAAAAGTGGACAGATCCAGGAGGCAGAATATAAGTTAAGAATATAGTTGAAGTCAATGACACCATCAATCAACTGGATATAATGGACATCTATAGACTACCTCATCCAACAACAGCAGAATAGACATTCTTCTCAAGGTCACATGGAAAGATCACCTGAGGTCAGGAGTTCGTGACCAACCTGGCCAATGTGGCGAAACCCCATCTCTACTAAAAATACAAAAATTAGCCTGGCATAGTGGCACATGCCTGTAATCCCAGCTACTCAGGAGGCTTGAGGCAGGAGATTGCTTGAACCCAGGAGGCAGAGGTTGCAGTGAGCCAAGACCACGCCATTGCACTCCAGCCTGGGTGACACAGCGAGTCTCTGTCTTAAAAAAAAAAAAAAAAGAAAAGAAAAGAAAAGGAAAAAATAAAGAAAGTTCACCAAGATAGCATTCTGGGACATAAAGCACATCTTAACAAATTTTAGTGAATAGAAATCACACAATGTCTGCTATCAGACCACAATAGAATTAAACTAGAAATCAACAACAGAAAGATAACTGGAAAATTCCCAAGTACTTGGAAATTAAACAATACACTTCTAAATAACACAAGAATCAGAGAAGAAATTTCAAAAGAAATTTTAAAATATTCCGAACTAAATACAAGTGAAAGTACAGCTTATCAAAATTTGTAGATGCACCAAAATAGTGCTTAGAGGGCAAATTATAGCACTGAATGCAAATATTTAAAAAGAAGAAAGCTCTCAAATCAATCATCTAAACTTCCTCCATAAGAAACTAAAAAAAAAGAAGAGCAAATGAAATCCAAAGTAAGCAGAAGACATAAACATTAGAGCAGAAATTGAGATGCAACTGACAACGGAAAATTAACAGACAAAATCAAGAAAACCTGATTTTGAATGTTTGAAAAGCCGATATTGTGAAAGCATAAATAAAATAAAAGACAGGCAAACTAAGAATAAAAAAGAGAGGACATAAATTGTTAACATCAGAAATGAAAAAGGGAACATCACTGCAGATCTCATGGCCATTAAAAAAAAACATGAAGGAATACTATGAACAACTCTGCACTCACAAATTTGATAACCTAGATGAAAGAGACATTCCTTGAAAGACACAGTCTGCTAAAATTCATGTAAGAAGAAACAAACAATCTAAAGGCTGGGCGCAGTGGCTCACACCTGTAATCCTAGCACTTTGGGAGGCCGAGGCTGGCAGATTGCCTGAGCTTACGAGTTCAAGACCAGCCTGGGCAACATGGCAAAACCCTGCCTCTACTAAAAAACAAAACAAAAAAAAATTAGCCGGGTGTGGTGCCATGTGCCTGTAATCCCAGCTACTCGGGAGGCTGAGGCAGGCGAACCGAACCGCTTGCATCCAGGAAGCAGAGGTGCAGTGAGCCAAGAATAGGCCTATACCTATTAAAGAAATTGAACAATTGAATTCACAATTAATAATCTTCCAAGACAGTAAGCACCAAGTCCAGATGAGTTCACCGAGGAATTCTAACAAGTATTTTAAAAGGAAACTTGACCCATTCTTTACAATCTCTTTCAGAAGATAGAAGCAGAGGGAAAATTTCCTAACTCGTTCTATGAGGCCAGCGTCACCCTAACACCAAAACCAGACAAAGATGTTGCAAGAAAAGAAAACTACAGACCAATATCTCTCATAAACACAGATGTAAAAATGCTTTAAAAATTAGCAAATGAAATCCAACAATGTATAAATTATATACCATGACCAAGTGTAATTTATCGAAGGCATGCAAGTTGGAGTCAACATTCAAAAATCAGTTAATGTAAATGTAATGTAAAAGTAATGTAAAGTTAATGTAAAACCTATCACATCAACAGACTAAAGAAGAAAAATCACATGGTCATCTCAATAAATGCAGAAAAAGAATTTGACAAAATTCAATGCCCACTTATAGTTAAAAAAACACAAAAAACAAAAAACCACTCAGTGAACTAGGAATAGAGGAGAACTTCCTCAACTTGATAAAGAATATCTGTAAGAAACCTATAGCGAACGTCACACTTACTGGTGAGAGACTCGGAGCTTTTTTACCACTAAGATCAGGAGCAAGTCAAGGATGTTCCCTCTCACCATGCCTTTCAACACTGTACTGAAAGTCCTAGCTAATACAGCAAGACAAGAAGAGGAAATACAAGGTATACAGATGGAAAGGAATAAGTAAAACTGTCTTTGTTCACAGATGACATGATTGTCTATCTAGAAAATCAAAATGAATCAACCAAAAACTGTTGGATCTAACAAGCAATTACAGCAAGGTTGCAGGATTTAAGGTTAATGTATAAAGGTCAATTGCTTTCCTATACACCAGCAATAAACAAGTGGAATTTGAAATTAAAAACACAATATCATTTGTACCAGCACACCCAAAAGATGAAATACTTAAGAGATAAATCTAACAAAATATTTACAAGCATTATTTGAGAAAAACTACAAAATGCTGATGAAAGAAATCAAAGAACTAAATAAATGAAGAATATTCTATGTTCATAGATAGGAAGACTCAATTATTGTCAAGATGTCAGTTCTTCCCAACTGGTTCTATCGATTTCATACAATGTCCATCCCAGCAAGTTACTTTGTGTAAATCATGATACACACTGATTCTAAAATTTATATGCAGAGGCAAAAGACCCATAATAGCCAATCCAGTATTGAAGGAGAAAAACAAAGTTGGGTGACTGACACCACCCAACTTCAAGACTTACTATAAAGTTATCAAGATGATGTGGTATTGGCAAAATAATAGACAAATAGATCAATGGAACAGAATAGAGAGACCAAAAGTAGACCCACATAAGTATAACTGATGGATCTTTGGCAAAGGAGTGAAGTCAATACTATGGAGAAAAGAGAGTCTTTTCAACACATGGTGCTGGAACAACTGGACATGCACATACAACAAAGTGAATCTGGACACACACTTTACACCACCCACAAGAAGTAATACAGTGGACCACAGACCTAAAATCCTAGAATAACACAGAAGAAAATTGAGATGACTAAGTTTTGCAATGGCTTTTAGATAAAAGACCAAAGCCACTATCCATGAAAGAAAGAATTGATAAGCCAGGCTTCATTAAAATTAAGCATTTCTGCTGCGTGAAAGACTGTTATGAGAATGAGAAGGGAAGCTACACACTGGGAAAAAAAACATTTGCAAAAGACATATCTGTTAAGGAATTGGTGTTCCAAATTTACAAAGAACTCTTAAAACTCAACAGTAAGAAAAAGAAACTGGGCTGGCATGGTGGCTCCCACCTGTAATCCCAGCACTTTGGAGGCTGAGGCAGGCAGATCACCTGAGGTCAGGGGTTCGAGACCAGCCTGGCCAACACGGTGAAACCCCATTGCTATGAAAAATACAAAATTAGCCGGCTATGGTGGCGGCTGCCTGTAATCCCAGCTACTCAGGAGGCTGAGGCAGGAGAATCACTTGAACCCAGGAGGCAGAGGTTGCAGTGAGCCGAGATTGCGTCATTGCACTCCAGCCTAGGCGACAAGAGCGAAACTCCATCTCAAAAAAAAAAAAAGAAAAAAAGAAACCCGATTAAAAAATAGACAAAGACCTTAACAGACACCTCAGCAAAGAAGATACACAGATGACAAAGCATATGAAGAAGAGATGCTCCACATCATATCATCATATGTCATCAGGGAAATGCAAATAAAATCAACAACTGGATACCATTACACATCTGTTAGAATGGCCAAAATCCAGAACACTGACTGCACCAAATGCTGGCGAGGGTATGGAGCAGCAGAAGCTCTCACACACTGGTGGTGAGAATGCAAACTGGTACAACCACTTTCAAAGACTTTAGCAGTTTCTTAAAAAACTAAATATCCTCTTACCATATAATCCAGCAGTCATGATCTCTGAAATTTCTCCAAAGGAGTTGAAAACTTATGTCCACACAGAAACTTGTATACAGATGTTTATAGTAGCTTTATTCATAATGGCCAAAACCTAGAAACAACCAAATGTCCTGCAATGAGTAAAAAGACAAGCCGTGGTATTAATTCATTCGGATAATGGAATGTTATTCAGTGCTAAAAAATAAACGCGCTAACAGGAATGAAAAGGCATGGAGGAACTTACATGCATATTATTAAGTAAAAGAAACTAATCTAGGCTGGACGTGGTGGCTCATGTCTGTAATCCCAGCACTTTGGGAGACCAAGGTAGGTAAGTGGGTGGGTCACCTGAGGTCAGGAGTTCGAGACCAGCCTGGCCAACATGGGAAAACCCCACCTGTACTAAAAATACAAAAATTAGCCTGGCATGGTAGCACATGCCTGTAATCCCATCTACCTGGGAGGTTGAGGCAGGAGAATCACTTGAATGGCGGGGGCAGAGGTTGCAGTGAGCCTAAATAGCGCCACTGAACTTCAGCATGGGCAACAGAACAAGACTGTCTCAAAAAAAAAAAAAAAGAAAGAAAAGAAAAGAAAAGAAAGAAAGAAAGAAAAGAAGCTAACCTTAAGCTACATACTTTATGATTCCAACTATATGACATCTGGAAAAGGCAAAACTATGGAGATAGCAAAAAGACCAGTGGTTGCCAGGAGTTAGTGGGGAGGGAGGTACGAACAGGTGGAGCACAGAGGATTTTTAAGACAGTGAAACTACTCGGTATGATACTATAATAGTGACACATGTCATTAGAAAATTGACAACACCAAAAGTGAACCCTAATGTAAACTATGGACTCTGGGTGATAATGACGTACCAGTGTATGGTTATCAATTGTAATGTAAGTATTAAATGCCACTCTGGTGGGGGATATTGATCGTGAAGAGGCTACGCATGTGTTGAGGCAGGAGGTATATAGGAAATTGCTGTACCTGCTGCTCAATTTTGCTGTGAACCTAAAACTGCTGTAAAAATTAGAGGTTTTCTTTTTTTTTTTTTTTTTTTTTAGCTTGAATCTGGGCAGCCCTCTAAACATAACTACCATTTTACAAAAAATCTAGAGGACAGAGGAATTGTAACCATATAAACAAACCACACAGGCGCATTCAGCAAAATCTATACTGTGGTTAACTCTGCAGGACAAGTGACCCAGTTTCTTCGAAACAATAATAACAAACAAGCAAACAAAAATGCAAGAAAAAAATTGACAGAGAAACCTGTAGAGAGGTCTTAAGGCACCTGTCCACCGGTTACAATACGGGAACCTCTTTTGGGTCTCAATTCAAGTACAGAAAACTAATTTTTCTTAATGTGTAGGAAAATCTTGGAAATATGAACAGTGACTGAATAGTCAATGGTATTATGGAATTATTGAATTACTGTTAAAATATTTTAAGTGGCCCAATGATCTTATGGTTAATGTTTTCTGGAGACTCTCTGTCTTATGGAAATAAAGAATAAAGGCTGGGCGTGGTGGCCTACACCTATAATCCCAACACTTTGGGAAGCCAAGATAGGAGAATTGCTTGAGGCCAGAAGTTCAAGACCAGCCTGGGCAACATAGCAAGACTTCCTCTCTACAAAAGATTTAAAAAGTTATCCGGGCATGATGGCACATGTCTACAGTCCCAATTACTTGGGAGACTGAGGTGGGAGGGTTGCTTGAGCCCAGGAGTTTGACGCTGCGGTGAGCTATGATGGCGTCACTGCATTCCAACTGGGCATTCAAAAAACAAGTAAATAAATAGAAAATAAAATGTATGTACCTACAATGTCTGGAATTTGCTCTAGAGTAATTCAGGGTGTGAAGGGGATGATGGCGGCTATGAGCTGGTAATTAATAAAGCTAGGTAATGGGAATTCCTGGAAATGTATTCTAACATTCTTTTCACTCTCATGCAATTGAAGCATTCTACAATGGAAGGACAGAAAAAGAAAAAAGAAGAGAAAAGAAAACTCAACAAAGTCTGTGGGTCTGAGAGACGGGTCCCTCAGGAAGGATGCTGTCCAGGTGGGACTGTTGCCAAGGGAAGGTTTGGGGAAAGTTGTTTAGCTCTCTTTGCCTCCATTTTCTCATTTGTAAAATGGGGATCGGATAACAATGCATTCCTCACAGGGCTGCTGGGAATATTGAATGACTATATATATGTAAATCAGATATAACAGGACCTTGCATGTGGTTGTACGTGCCATATAACATTTGCTATTAAAGCATGTTAAGCACCCTGAAGTACCTTGTTGCATCAACCAAAATTAAATCTCTACAGCACCCCACAGCTCACAGACATCACCTCGGCTGAGCCTCATGATAGCCTTTGGAGGTAAACCTTTTTCTTACTCTGATTAGGCAGATAGGGAAACTGAGACACAGTCCATGGACATGCAGCTGGTTAGTGGCCAAACCTGCACCAGGGTTAGGTCTCCTGACTCCATCCCAAGCCCTTTGGAGGCACCAATGCCGCCCTTTAGGGGATGAGTCAGAGGCTGAAATTAGATCTTTAGCTTTGTGTGATCAAAAACTTTATTTTGTCTCTTTGCCTGTTGTGACCAGCACCACCTCCCTGGGTAGGGGATGGTAACCAGACTCAAATGGAGCTAATGGGTGTCTCTTAGTCCCAGTCTGGGCAAGAGGATGGCACGGGGCCTAGGCAACCCTTCGCCCTTCGGTTTGGCCCCAGCCAGACCTCCCCCCTGTGGCCGAGGAGTTTGTCGCAGCTGAACACTGGGTGGGCCTGAGTGTGGGGCTGCTGGTGGGGGCTAAGGAAATAAAACAGACAAGAGTCACTCCAAGGCTGTAGCTCAGCATGGAGGTCTCCTCCAGTCTCCAGGGAGTCAAAATGCAAGCCTAGGATTTCAAAACTAGCCTCCCACAAAGGGAGAAGTCCTTGGGCTGCAACAGCCTTGTTCTCGTTTGCAATTTCCTTCCCAGGAATAGGCTTAGGGGGCTCTGGGATAGTTGAACGTAAAATAATAACAATGATGAAACCTGTGATAAATAATAACAATGATGAAACCTGTGATCTGTTGAATGCTACCCATTGCGTGATGAAGCACAATGGATGCTTTTCTCACTCAGACATTCCTTATTCACAATATACGGTGAAGTAGGTATTTGTTTTTATTCAAACAACACAGAAGTTTAGAAAATACGTCATGAAAGTCTCCCTCCACCATCACCATCACCAGACCTGCCCCCCAGAGGTAGCCACTGTTTACAATCCTTGTGTATTCTTCCTGACACTTGTGTATATTTAATCATTATATATACACACCCACTCGTGTGTGCACATGTATACGCATACACACAGTTCGTTTGTTTTTATAAAAGTGAGATTATACCTGATTCAGCAACTTGCTTTTTCCATGTATGCATCTTTTCCCAATCCTAGGCATATAAATACATGAGACTCTAAGGAAATCTGAAGTAAGCAAAGATTACAGGGTTTCTCCAAGAGAAAACTACTTATTGTTGAGAGTAGACTCTCTGGATTATCTGATCCCAGCCTTTGGGCTAATTTACTGCTCTGTAAGTTTTAAGGAACGGAGGACATACAGTGACCCTGAATTGTGGACCCGCAAATGAGCTCCATCCACCCTCCTACACGGGGCAAAAGCGAGATCATTGCGACCGCTTGAAAATCCACATTCCATGGCCATAAACACATCTGTTCTTTGGATTCTTCTTTGAATCAGTTGTAACATCACTGGCTCACTCGTTCACAATAATAATGTGCTAATTTTTATCTATTGTAGAATCATGATTTTTAACTTGTTTTAAAACCATTTTTTAACAACAGGCATTATTTTCTCTTTGTATAGATGGTGAAATCCAGACTTTGAAAGATTGAGCAAATTGCCCACAGCAACACTGTTGGTAAATAGCAGAGTTTGGGTTCAAGCGCAGGTCTGCAATCCTGCTTGTGCAATTTCAAAAGAACAGATACTGGGTATCTTCCAGGTACTAGACCAAACATTTAGGGTATGTGAATTTGTTTAACCCTCCCCTCAACCTACGAGGTGAGTGTCAGCCCTACCCTTATAGAAAAGGCAACTGTGCTCAGAGCAGTGGAGGACTGCGCCCCAGGATGCAACAAAAGCCAGCTGCACGGCGCCAAAGCTGAAGGCCTGAGCTACGCTGTGCTGCTACCCCTTGTCCCTCCAGATTCTCTTTTCCTTCACCTGTTTGTCAGTAAACTAAAGCCACCACAGTTTGTCATTTGGATGATTATCAGTAAGATAACATTGCCCAGAAGCTTTGGTTTCTGGTTTTGAAAAGAGCCAGAGGCTGTGTATGCATTTCCCAGGGGTGCCATAACAAACTACCATGAACTGGGTGGCTTAAACAACAGACACGTGTGCGCTCAGTGTTGGAGGTTAGAAGACCAAAGTCAAGGTGTTGGCAGGGCCGTGCTCCCTGGGAAAGCTCTGACAGAGAATCCTTCCTTGCCTCTTCTGGTTTCTGGGGTTTGTTGGCAATCTCTGGCATTCCTTGGTTTACAGACGCACTACTCCAGCCCTCCCTCTTCCCATGGCATATCTGCTGTGTGTCCCTGGGTGTCTCCATGTCATCCTCCTTCTGTGTCTGCTTGTCTCTGTGTTTATATTTCCCTAGTCATATTGAAGTAGGGCCCATCTAAGGACCTCATTTTCACCTGGTTAAATCTGCTAAGACTCTATATCCAAATTAGGTCACATGCCGAGGTCCCAAGTGTTAGGACTTCAATGAATCCTTTTGGGGGTTGAGAGAGTAACACAGTTCAACCCATATCAGACAGCATATTGAAGTTTAGCCTCTACCAAGATGAGCTCTAAGCATGCCAGTCTCACAAGCAGCTCTGTGGAGAAGGGGCGCTGTAGCCTCACACATTTGGAAGATCCTTCATGTTAGAGGCCCTGGTGGTAATTCACAGGTTTCATGAGCGTGGTGACACCCTGGAAAGGACTGCAGCAAAGAAACCTGTTGACCTGAAGTTGGCATTTCCCAAACTTATTCGAGCACAGGAGCTGTGGGGGTGGTGTGGGGGTGGTGTGGGGGCGGTGTGGGGGTGGTGTGGGGGTGGTGTGGTGGTGGTGGCAATGGTTTTAACAGTGTTCTCTGGAACACACCTGGGGAAACTCACATAACCAGAGCATGACTTTGGAGCCAGGAAGGCCTGGACTGGCATCGTGACTCGACTATTAACTGAATATATGACCTTGGGCAATGAATTTCCCTCTCTGAGTCTCGATTTCCTCATTTCTACAACAGGAATGAAAATTTCTAATCAATCACTGAGGGGTAAGTTCACTGCTAAAACAAATCCCAAAAACCATAACGGCTGGGAAACACTAGGATATAAGTTCATGTTCTTGCTCAGGACAGGGCAGGGAACATGCTGTCTGGGCAGTCTTTCTCCACACAGCCATTCGAAACCCCAAGGCGACAGATGCTCTGCCATTTTAAGTTTGTAGCTTCCGAGGTCATGGCAGGTTGCCCCTGTTCCATCCAGGCAGAAGGGGTGGAGCTTGGAGACTGCTTGCTGGGAGGTTTCTAGGGGCAGGCTCCGGCATGGAGCAACCCACTCCACTGCTCACACTCCACTGAGCAGAGCCCGATCCTAGGACTGGACGTCACTGTAAGGGGGTGGGAGAATGAGCAGCTCTATCCTAGCAGGAACTCAACCACAAAGGAAGAAGAAGTACGCCCTTGCAGTGCACAGCTAGCTTTCTTCTAGTTTCTTATAGTTTATTCTACTCTGCAGGTGTGTTCTGAGGGTTAAATGAGGCTTTTGACATAGGCAGCGTCCTTAGTATCACACACGACTAAATAAATGGCCAACAGTTTGAAAATGGAAAAAGATATGAATGGGAAGCGCCTTGAGGGATGAAATAGGAGACAGGCTCTGGTGCACAGTACAAGTGTGGGCCCCCCCCTTTCTTACCCAGGCATCCTGGTGGCCCGGTCTGGTGTGTGGTAGGAAGAGGGGAGTGAAATCCTCAGGGCGTCATTCCATCCCAGCAGCTTCTTCCCCTGCTTCCTTTCCAGCCAGATGGAGAAGTTGCAGATCCAGAGTCTTGACAGCCTCACAGCTTCCAAGGCAGTGGCCCCGTGGGGTGCAGACCCCTCCTTCCTGCAGTTGCAGAGCCAGCTAAGAGGTGGGCAGCAGGCCAGGCCCCCTCAGCAGCCCCTGGAGCGCATACCAGTTGCAGATGCTCAGGAGGCTCGGGGGAAGGAACGGGTTTTCACCAGAACACCGCAGGCAGGGCCTCCCAGGAAAGGCCTCCAGATGCCGTGAAAACCTGCAGCTTGTCCTCCTCCCGGCTTCCCAGGTTACCCAGCCACAACACACCGGTGAGAACCATCTCAGGACCTCCCCACTTTTGGGCTCCCTTACCCTGACTCCTCGGTCCACAAGCGACCAAAAGGGGTCAGTAGAGCAAGGCCCCTGCCTTCAAAAGAATGCATGCTTTTTTTTTTTAACTTCATACTAATTATTGAAAAAACTGTACCTCAAATCACACCCCCAACCTCTCAGCATGAACAAGCTCCAACAGACTTCTCCCAGCAGCCCCTCCCACCTGTCTCCGCATGGAGGTTGGCTTTTCAGAGCTGCCATCAATGTGGACATACAGTCCTGCTTTCCACGCTCCTCGCCCTGCTTTGTATACACTTTCCCGTGCATCTGGGTCAGCCTGGAGCTGAGTCTTTCACAGAGCAGCAAAATATACAGAAGGCATATTTTGGTTTAGAATCTTCATACCCAGAACATCTGGGTGATACTGAGACAACTGGAGCGATTCTTGCTGATGCTGCAAGTCTCCAAATACGGTCCCTTGCAGAGAGAAAATGCTGTATTTTGCATCTGTACCTACGCACATGGGTTTTCTCAAGCATAGTGGACTTTGGAGTGTGACAGTTAGTGATTTCTCCCCGGGAAGTGGCATGACCTGTAGGAGTTACTGTTGGCTGCAGCTGCTGGTGCGGCCCGAATTATTTATTGGTTTTGATTCGTGCGCCGTTCCCTGTGTAAATTAAAATGTGACATTATTACACCCTCTGACAGCCCATCGGCGACCTTTAGCACTCTCCCCCCCTCTGCAGCCATTATTCAGCATAATTTGACTGATTTCAGGCGAGTTGGGAGGGTGGGAAGGGATGGGTGGGGGCCGGGGAAGGCAGAGTCCAAATTAGAAACAGATTTAAAGAACATTTGCAGGGAATTAGGCAGTGGGCCAGGCGCGCTTGCTGCCAGCATGTGTAACCCCTCTTTAGGGACTGTCAGCTCCTCCCAGGTTTCCACAGCGGATGTTTCCCGGCCGGAGCGCAGCTGGGTTTCAGTTGTCAAACCCACAGCCAAGACATCTGAGAAGCGGGTGGAGCATCCATGTGCATGCATGTGTCTGCACCCGGCCACATGCACACACACTCGACCCTGAGGACACTCCCAGCACAACTCCACACATCCACACCTACGACAGCACACTCAGGACATAGACGGATACAGGTGCACACAGAGAATCAGGACAGACACACTTACGCAGCTGCACACGCAGACTCCACTTGTGCCCTGCTGACACTTTCTAAGAGGGATTCCAGAGCAGATTTCCTAATCCATCCTCCCTCCCTCCACCTCAAGTCGGGCTGTGTGTGACTTGGGTTAGCCCCTCGACCTCTCTGAACCTCTGTGTCCTTAAATGTAAGAGTGAATAATGGCAGCTGTGATGGTCAAAATGGGATAATGAAGGAACATGGTGTACACTCTGCAGCTTTGATCGGATATGGGAAAGGGCAAGCAGGATGGTGGCCATGATCATGAGGAAGACAGTGGCGGTGATGGTGAGGAAGACAGCAAACCTTTGGCTCGTGGCCTTTCTGGAGGGGACATAAAGCACTTTGCAGTCGTGCTGCTTACTTTGATGAAAAGAATGAGGGGCACCCATATGGGGAGAGCAGGGCAGAGAAGGAGCAAGGCACCCTTTCCCCAGGGCCCCTGTGGTGGGGAGGGAGACAGCAGTCAGCACCAGCCTGCACAGCCCTGGGCGACTTGCTGCGCAGGAAGCCTGACCCTGAGGCCTGGTCACTGGCCACCCAATACAGGTGCGTACCTCAGAGTGACCAGTGCCAGAAGCCAGATGGATTGGGGGTGGAGGGCTGGGGGAAAGACATGAGGCAGGAAGCAGTTAGGCACCAAAGTAGGAGTTTCTAGACCTTTGGTCAACAAATATTTAAGGAGCACCTACTTGCGCTAAGTGCTGGAAATGCAGTGATGCGTAAAACACAGAGCCCGCTTTGTGGAACTTAACATCAAGAGAGAACAACTGACATGCAAACAGGCAATGCTAGTGTCGTGGGATGTGTGCTCCCCAGGAAATGGGCTAGGCGTGTGGCACTTGGGGCACAGAGGGACCATCTAATTCAGACAGGAAAAGAGGAGGCTTCTGGAGGAAGTGGACAAGAACCCAGGCTGTACAGGGAGGGACCTTCCAGGAGCTCAGGAGAGCTGCCAGGCAAAGAGTAAGTGGCGGTGAAGGAGAGAGATGAGGCTTAAGAAGTAAACAAGGGTCAGGTCATCCTGGCAGCCCCTCTCTGCTGGCTCATTCACTCTCACTTACATCTTCCATTCTGCAAATGGTGTGAGCAACCATTTCATAGGTCCTGTGCTGGGTGCAGAGACTGCAACGGTGAGCAAAGCAGACACGGGTGGGTTGAACGAAGGTTGTAACTGGGAATGGAGAGCAACTGGTAGATTTGAGAGATCACAAATCAACTGTATTTGGACGATGGTGGTGAGAGAGAAGAAATGATTTCAGATGATTCTCAGGTTTCTAGCTGGGTGCCTGGGTGGAGAAGGTGTCCCTCCCTGAGGGGGAAACACAGAAATGGCAGCAGATCGAAGGACGTGGGGGAAATGTTGACAATGATGAGTCTGCATTGGTCTTGCTTGTTTGCAGGGCTGCGATAGGGGCTAGGTGGAAGCTGACAGCCATCTGGATGACAGCAGACCCCCAGATGAAGATACAGAGAGCAGTGGCAAGAAGGTGGCAAGAGATTGGCTGCCCGAATCCCAGTTAAAAGGAGCAGGGTTTAGGACAGGGTTCCAGCCTGAGCTGGGGAACAAGAGTGCTAAAGGCAAAAGGCCAGCTCATTCCAGGTGTTTCGGGTACCAGGACTGTGACAGGAAAACCACGTCAGCCCCTTCTTGCTGGTGGACCGGTCAGGCCCAGCTGCAGGAACCCTCTGTCTGGATGAAGCTTGCACAGCTGAAAGCCACCAGCATCTACATGGTGTAGTCTTCTGTACATTAGGCCCCTGCCTACCACCACCACTAGATCCCACACAGCACTTGGCACAGGGCTGGTCAGATAGTAAGTGCTCAATTAATACTCTCCTGGGAGCGGATAGACTTTCAGTCAAAAGCAGGAGACTCCAGTGATGAATGCGGCATTAGACCCTTACTGGGCCCTCACTGAGTTGCCTTTGAATTGAATTGGAGCTGCTGGTCTCCTTTAACCACATTAGGAGAAAGCCCCATTTACTAAATACCCTCTCCCTGTCCACCCTCCACAAAGACGGCAGTTTCAGTGACAACCTTTAGTCTCCGGCATTCAGGTCAGAGACTCAAGCTTATACCCTTTGAAACCCCAGACATTCGACCTACAACTAGATTCCCTAAAGTACTGCCCTGTCGATGAAGTCCAGGCTGACTGCTTAACGTAAATACCCACAATCAGGCTGAAATTGAAGTCCGGGAACACATGAGAACAGACAGCCGACCAGAGGTGGAAAGAAAGCATTTTCTCTGTTCACGCGGACCCCCTTGGGAGGGGTCTCATTTGAACAGGGAAGTTTCAAAAGTGTATACCAAAGAAAGGCTATTTAATCAGTGAGTAGGACAACGTGGAAGACAAAACTAGAGGGACTGGGTCATGAATTTTGGACGCTCATAACATGGGCAAGATCTCATAAAACAGGACAGAAAGGCTATGGGTGGCCAGCTGCAGGACTGCCCTACTCAGAAGCACGGTCTCCTCCCCTGCTCTTCACGGTGGGTGACCTGCACCGGCACCTCAGAGCCGCCACCCCTGCAATTCACTATGGCACAGGGCACAGCACCAGGGCTCCTCCTTCAATCCCAGGGCCGTCCTTATCCAGCAAGGCTCAGCTGGGCTGGTCTTCTAAGGCTGGAGACCAGGTAGCTGAGAGGGAAGTGACTTGCCCCAGATCTCCAGTTTAATGGTGGCAAAGCGGAGATAAGAACCCTGGTCTCTGAGTCCAGTTCTGATGCTGCTCCCCACTTGTGCTGTGAAGAGGACTGCCAGCAAATTCAAGCTCATCCGTCTATGTTTCTCTCCAAACAGAAAATCGTTTATTCCTTGTCATCAATCTCTATCACTCTCCAAGCAGTTGATCTATCTTGAGTCATGATTAGGATGTATTTTGTGTATACAGAAAGAATATTAGAGAAACGACAATAGACAGAGGCGTGGATTCGGTGGTATCAATACATCACACTGTGGTTAACCGCAGGTGAAATTTTGGCCTCGTTCAATTTATTTTAAGATAAAAACTACTTCTGTAAACCAGGCGCGGTGGCTCGCACCTGTAATCCCGACACTCTGGGAGGCCGAGGCAGGTGAATCCTTTGAGGTCAAGAGTCCAAGACCCGCCTGACTGACATGGTGAAACCTCGTCTCTACTAAAAATACAAAAAAATTTAGCCAGGCGTGGTTGTGCATGCCTGTAGTCACAGTTACTCGGGAGGCTGAGGCAGAAGAATCGCTTGAACCTGGGAGGCAGAAGTTACAGTGAGCTGAGATTACACCATCGCAGTCCAGCCTGGTCAACAGAGCAAAATTCTGTCTCCAAAAAAAAAAAATATATATATATATATATATATATATACACACACACACACATATAATTTTTGTAATGCATACCCTATTAAATGTATCACTGATTATTTGATTTTTAAAAATATAAAAATATTTAAGTATCACATCATTGGAGTCAGAAATAGATTTGCATTAAAATATTCAACTTAATATTTTCCATTTCAAAAACAATAAAGTAAATGGAAAAAGTATCTTAAAAAGAATTACAAAAATATATCTTTATCTCTTTTCAGATGCTGGATCTGGGACAGCTCCACTGGAACCTGAGATGCCCTGAGGGTGTCCCAGTGATATAAAATATGAGGAAAGCAGAAACAACTAAGAACCAGACTCTGAATGTGGCAGATTCTAGAACTGAAGTGAGCAGCCAGGACCTGCCTGACATGCCCACTGGGAGTGCGGTGCTGGCAGCCTGAGAATACAGCCCAGCCGCCATGCCGCCGGGATGGGAGTGGGCCCGGCGGACTTCCTGCCTTTTGGTCAGACAGACTGCCTTCCTGAATTACGAGTTCCAGGAAGTGTGGCGACGGGGTGGGGGCTGGTGGAGAGGTTGCACGTGTCACTTACCACCCCCATATGGCCCTCTTCCTGACTGTGGCCTCCCTTCCTCGCTTACAGACCAGTTACTTAATCTGCCACATGACGAGATGGTATCTGGGATCTCTAACGGCTCTGAAATCCCACAATTCTATGACTGGTCTTAGATACAAGACCGGTACGAGATAGGCAAACCCTGGCTCCGCCCGCAGTTTGCTCCATGTGATACACTGTTCACACCGAGTGCTAGCAGCAGGGAAGAAGCGGTAACTGCTCTGTGCTCAGCACTGAGCCCGCACTCAGCAAGGTGATGTGTGTTACTAGGCATCGTCACATTTCGTGCCCATGTGGGTGTTCCTAGCACCAGTCAGAAGACAGAGCTTAAACAGTTGGAGTAAGTTGCCCAAAGGCCAGCCCCAGTTTCCCTGAATCTCATCATGCTGGACACTGAACTATTTCTGGAGGTTTAAGGCTGAGAAAGTCTAAGTCTGCATCCTCTCCCACTCCTCCTTACACTGGTATCCCTGGGAGAAACCTCGACATTACTCCCAACTTCGCTTCTCCCCAGGAGCAGGATGATTTGTCTGACTCATGAGTTTGGGAGAAAACCTGCACCTGTGGGGCTCGATCCCTCTGCCTCTTGGAGCAGAAGGCAGCCTTCTGTGCTGGGCTCCAGCCTGGGGGGGGGTTGGCAGCTGACCAGCTGCGCCAGGCCCTAGCAGGTAATAAAGGCTGTCTGTCCCAGGCGTGATGTATTAGCACAGCCTGCCTGGCCATACCTGAAGCCGCATCTTCCTCCAATTTACTGAGAAAGGAAACACTTTCTCTCAGTTGGTTCTGGACTCTGAAAGAAGAAAGGGTGGTGTTGTTCATCGGGCTTCCTAGAGCCCCACCACAGGGACACCTGGTGCAGCCCTGAAGGGAGGAGACGTCAGCAGGTTTAGGGATGGAGACATTTCAGAGCCAGAAGAGAACTTCTAGCAACCCAGCAGAAATATAATGAAGTCACATAGGTGACTGTCAATTCCCTAGTAACATCAACAAATCAAAAGAAGCAGGGAAAATTAATTATAATAATACATTTTACTTAGTTCAATCAAGCAGATGATCATTTCAATATGTGCTCAGAGTGCACGTGTGGCTAATGGCTTCTGTCATGGACAGTACAGCCTTAGGGCCTCCTATGCCTGAGGGGATCTGCTCCCTTTGACAATGTCCCAGTGCAAAGACTTCCAGGTGTGAAGCCGCCTCAACCTTCTGAATCACTCCATTTACGTGGTGGGCATTTCTGGTTGTTAGACACACCTCATCTTCCATTGGCCCCCATCCCCCACTCAACTTGCTTCTGTCTCTCTGAGAGACAGCCAGAGTGGAACACATTCTAGAAAGGTCCTCAGTCTTTCTGGAAATGCCTGTCTCCTGTCTTTCACCGGCTGCTGCCTCCCTGAGTCGTTGCCCAACATTGGTATTTTTTGGTGGGACAAAGCTTCGGTGTTTTTCTCACTTGAGAATATTATATTTGTAACTGTTGTGGACACCTGTTGTTTTTGACGACTCAGCATCCTGTCTTCCTAATTTAGAAGAATTCCAAAATAGGTGAGAAGTACGACCCCGCCTCTGACCCCGCCTCTGGCCCCGCCTCTGGCCCCGCCTCCTGTCACAGAGGTGGAAGGGTCGCAGACCTTCACTTTCCACACCTCAAGGCGCTCAGTCAGTCACCCGTTCATGCCTGAGATTGTGAATCCAATAGGAAAGTACAAGGACATGGAGATTGTCAGAGCTGATGTATGATGGTGGCAGCAGAGTCAAGAGTCCAGCAGAGAGGCAGCAAGCATCCCAGGGATCCCATGATTGAGAACCAGCTTCTGTGGTTTAGCAGCAAGGCACCAACTGGTATGAGAAGCACAGACAGATGGTGCCCTGGGAACACTGGCTGTCACATGCTGGAGGAGGTCCGTCAGCAATCACCTTCCCTCTATGGGCCTCTATTGGAGAGAAGGCATCAAGATTATTCCGGCTATGATTCCTGAGCTTTTAATATATTCGTTCTGATGATTAAGAAATATATCTGGGCCGGGCGCGGTGGCTCAAGCCTGTAATCCCAGCACTTTGGGAGGCCGAGACGGGCGGATCACGAGGTCAGGAGATCGAGACCATCCTGGCTGACACGGTGAAACCCCGTCTCTACTTTAAAAATACAAAAAAAAAAAAAACTAGCCGGGCGAGGTGGCGGCGCCTGTAGTCCCAGCTACTCGGGAGGCTGAGGCAGGAGAATGGCGTGAACCCGGGAGGCGGAGCTTGCAGTGAGCTGAGATCCAGCCACTGCACTCCAGCCTGGGTGGCAGAGCGAGACTCCGTCTCAAAAAAAAAAAAAAAAAAAAAAAAAAAAAAAAAAAAGAAATATATCTGTCGGGCGTGATGACTCACACCTGTAATCCTACCACTTTGGGAGGCCGAGGCGGGTGGATCATGAGGTCAGGAGTTCAAGACCAGCCTGACCAACATGGTGAAACCCCATCTCTAATAAAAATACAAAAATTAGCTGGGTGTTATGGTGTGTGTTGTAATCCCAGCTGCTCAAGAGGCTGAGGCAGGAGAATTGCTTGAACCTGGGAGGCGGAGGTTGCAGTGAGCTGAGATCGCACCACTGCACTCCAGCCTGGGTGACAGAGCGAGACTCTGTCTCAAAGAAAAACAGAGATATATCTGAATGTGACATGGAAAGAGGCTCAGAATATCAGACAGACATTTTACTGTAAATCTTGAAAACAGCTCTCCAAAACTAACTCCAGATCCACCCTGGGGTTCTCAACGCCACATGGTTTTCTAAAATTGAGACCAAGACTAAGACGAAGACCTATGCCTCCCCCTGATGCTGCCAGGACTACTGTCCCCATGGCTACCTTGAGACACAGCCTGAAGCCCTGGGTGTTTGTAGTGGCAGAGTACCGCAGAGGACTAGGAGTCAGAACAGTCTGGATCCTCATCCCAGCTGGGCCTCCTGATGTTGGAGAGCCCTGGACAAAGGGTTTTCATTTGCTGGGTCTTAGTTCTCCACATGGACAACAATTCACAATTAAGGTTCTTTTCAGTTCTGACTTTCTGTGACTCTGAATCCAGTAGGAGCTATTATTTCCTTGATTCCTGCTTACTGTTTTCTTCCCTTCTTCTCTGGCTTCTGTATTAAAACATTATATGTTTATGAATGGATAATCAAAATGCGGTGTATCCATATCATGGAATATTATACAGCCATGAAAGGGAATGAAGTACTGATGCATGCTACAACATGGATGAACCTTAAAAATACTAGGCTAAGTGAAAGAAGCCAGTCTGCAAAGATCACATGTGGTATGATTTCATTGACATGAAATGCTCAGAATAGGCAGATTTATAGTGACAGAAAGTACATTAGTGGCTGCCTAGGGCTAGGAAGAAATGGGGAGTGACTGTCAATGAGTACAGGATTTCTTTTGGGAGTTATGAAAATGTTCAAAAATGGATTGCAGTGATGGCTGTACAACTATGTGAATATATGAAAAACCTTTGAATTACACATTTGAAATTGGTGAATTGTATGGTATGTGAATTGTATCTGAATAAAGCTATTTAAAAAACAGGGGAGAAGTTTAGGAGAAATCCAACATATTTTAAAGCTCTGCTCATGGCATTGGAGGTTAGCCTTGAAAATTAAATCCACTCACAGTCCAACAATTCTATATTGTTTGGGTTTTTAAATTTTTCCCCGGTCAGTTAACCATTATTAAGTTGATTCGTTTGAATGTAACTACTTTAAAATCACCCCTTCTTAGAAGGTCTAATTAGCAGTCTAATGGGATCAGAAAAAGGAAAAATGGGATCTGACAAGTTTCCATGCTTGATTTCAGAGTTCATTCAGGTAGTGTCTCTTTTCTCTAGACTCTTTTGTTAGATTCTAATGGAAATCCTATCTGAAGAATTATTATAGAACAGTGCAGCTCATACTTTAATGCGCACTCAAATAACGTGGAGATCTTGTTAAAATACAGATTCTAATTTAGGAGATCTAGGGTGGGGCCTTGGAGTCTTGAACTTCTGACAAGCTCCCCATTGATGCTGATGCTGCTGGCCCATGGACCACACTGCAAGCTGCCAGGCTGCAGAACACTGTTTAATATGACTACCGAGCACTTGCAGTGTGGCTAGTCTGAATAGGGACGTAATGTAGGTGAATGAATGAGATAATATAAGTGATGTCAGTCTAAAATATATACTAGTTTTCAAAGACTTAGTACAAAAAAAGAATATGAAATAATTTTTATGTTAGTTGCACATTGGCATAATAATATACTGTGCTGGGCATGGTGGCTCGTGCCTGTAATCCCAGAACTTTGGGTGGCCCAGGCAGGTGGATCACTTGAGACCAGGAGTTAGAGACCAGCCTGGCCAACATGGCAAAACCCCGTCTCTACTAAAAATGCAAAAATTAGCTGGGCATGGTGGTGCACGCCTGTAATGTCAGCTACTCAGATGACTGAGGCACGAGAATCACTTGAATCCAGGAGGTGGAGATTGCAGTGAGCTGAGATCGTGCCACTGCACTCAAGCCTGGGCAAGAGAGCAAGACTTTGCCTCAACAATAATAATAATAATATTCTAGACACATTAGATTAAATAAAATGTGTTATTTTTTACATTTCAAGTTTTATTTGTAAAAAAGACTGGGAGCATCCCTCTCTCAATTATTCAACTCCCCTTTTTCCTTAATAATAGATTTCCAGCTGGGCATATGGTAGCCACATGGAATAAAGACTGCATTCTCCAGCTTCCCTTGCAGCTAGGTGAGACCTTGTGATATAGTTTGGACATTTACCCCAGCCCAAATCTCCTGTTGAATTGTAATCCCCACTGCTGAAAATGAGGCCTGGTGGAAGGTGTTTGGCTCATGGGGGAAGATCCCTCATGGCTTTTGGTGCTGTCTCCATGATAGTGAGTTCTCACAAAATCTGGTCATTTAAAATCATGTGACCCCCTCCCCCCGCCCACTCTCTCTCTCTCTCTTGCTCCTGTTTTCTCCATGTGAAGTGCCTGCTCCAGCTTTGCCTTCTGCCATGACTGTAAGGTTCCTGAGGACTCCCCAGAAGCAGGTGCTACTATACTTCTTGTATAGCCTGCAGAACCATGAGCCAACACAACCTCTTTCTTTATTATAAATTACCCAGTCTTGCATATTTCTTTACAGCAATGCAAGAACAGCCTAACACGCTGTGTGACTAAACACTGCATGAAACGTAGGGAGACAGTTGTGCAGCTTCCAAGAACCTTCCTTAAGAGATTATGTCAGTTCACCCCTTGCCTTCCTCTTTTTCATTCCTTCCTCCATCCTGCTGTCTAGAATGAAGAGATGTTGCCATTTTGGACCATGAGGTCAAGGCCATGAGTGGACCAACAGGATGTAAATGTCATGAGGGCAGGGATTTTTGTCTTTTCCCCACTCCCCAACTGCTGTTATCCCAATGCCTAGTTGGTGCTAAATAAATATTTGCTAAGTGAATGAATGAATGAGCAAGCCTGGGTCTCCGATACCGGGGAGGCAATGTCAGCCCCAGACCACCCACCTGGACTTTTACATGAGTCAGAACCAAACTTCTACCTCGTTTATACCAAGCCTAATCCTATCAATACAATTTTTTAAAGTCCTATAATTGTTTTAGGCCATATAAAGTTTACCTAAAATGTTAAGCTAAACCTCGGTAAATTGAATTACATTTCTAGTGCATTGTGATATTCATTTATTAAAGTTGTGGATTATTTTACAAAGCCAAAATCCATCAACTTGTATGTTTGATAAGTTGAAGTTTTAGTAATTCGGGTTTCTAAAACCAAAATATGCCTCCAACAGTACTTTCTTACTAACAATGCAAAACACTGTACAAATTTAATCCAGAAATGATTTTCTTAACAGCCCTAGAACGTAATGTAAGTGAGTTAGTATCAAAGGCAGCATCTTATAAGATAGAGATGAGCTAGTTTCCTTCCCCAACTAAGGGGAAATTTTCCATTTCATTCTGTGTCCATTACACTTCACTGCTCTTAAACTGAATAGGAATTCTGTATCAGAGAGGTTAGGAGTAGCAGACTTTAAGCAAAAACAAGTGTCTTCTTCTACTTTTTAAGAAAAACATTTCATTTCATTTGCTCAAGTTTTCAGCCCTGCTGACCTCTGAGAAGAATTGCACCTTTATGCATTGCTTTTCTAAAGAAAAAAAATAAAAAAGCTTTGAAAAAAAAAGGACTTGATTAATTAACTTTGGAATGCAAACAGGTGGGGGTAAAAGTCCAGTCAACACTGTGCAGAGCACCGTGTCCTCGTCTCCTATTCTCAGGAGAACAAGAGGAGCCGGTAGGATTTCAGTGAACCCGGACAGGGCAGGCTGGACTACTGGCAGGGCTGGGGGTGGGGGTGGAGAGAGGCAAACAGAGAGACCCGGATGGACCAACCCTAGGTGTTTGCACTTGAGACCTTTTCAAGGGCAATGAGAGTTATCATCACCTGTCACAGGAGGACAAAAAGGACACCAATGTGATTTTTCACCCTTCCTGTAGCCTGGAGGCCTTATTCTTCATTCCAAACTCACTGGGCTGAGGGCTTTGAAGTCGCAGAGGCCAAAAATCAGCTGTGGGTCTGTTTGTTTCATGAGTGGCCCCACACTGACACGCCAGCGAATGCCAACTTCCACTGGAGGGTCCTGGGGCTGCAAGGCTCTGTTCTGTGACACAAGAGGAAATCCAGAAGAGGCCACTTGACTCCAATACAGCATCCTTACTTGCCATGCCATTACCCTTCCAGGCTGGAAGCCTCATGTGTGCCATGAGCCCATTGCCTGGGTATTTATGATCAAGGAAGCTTTTTATAAGAAGGCATCTGAAACCTAAGTTTCCTTTCAGTTGAAAAAAAAAAAAAAAACTTTTCTCAAAGTATACCATTGGTGCAGATTTTCAGAGCTGAATTCCAAACAGAACTGAGTAACACGCCTCTAAACAACGTGTTTAAAAACTCTGGGGTCACGAGATACATTGAATGACTGATTTGTGATATCTTGGAGAAGATGGAAATTCTGGCAGGGAGACAAGACATAACTGGCATTAAAGTGCCAGAGATAAGAATGTATATAGTGAGATCCATCTGCGAGGCTAAAAAACATGTGCCAAGCAAAGAATGCCAAAGGATGACGCTGGAAAGACCAGTGGATAAGGCTCTGGCCATGAAACTGGACATTGGC